TGGATAACTTCTTGCAAGGGAAAAAATTTAACTCCGATGGGGCAGTGCAAATCGCCTTCAAAGATTTTATTGATTCCCGTCCGAATGGTTTTTTGAGTAAGGGGATCAATGAACTACCTATGAGATGACAAAAGTGCATAGATAACAATGGTTTATACTTTGATTAAATAAATCTATTATATTAAAAAATATTCGACATTTTGTTCCTCCCATACCAAACACCAATTTCATATGTAAAGACCTAATACATATTAGTATCCGATAAGAACAGGTTGGCGGCGAACTTTGCGTCTTAATTTGATTGGTATGACAGCATAAAATAGTTATTTAAGATACGAGTGCGGAAAGTAAGGTTTTACAAATAAGGGCCAAATTGGTTTTCATTGGCACGAATTCGAAAAACCTTTTACGCTCAAGGTTCTTACATTTTTCAATGCTTTTGGCGAGGAAATAAAACAAATATATAGGTTAATAAAACTAAGTATGTATTAAAGGTAAACATTTTTTGTTAAAATTAAACGTGATATTTGAACATGTTTTCGTGTCATACTCGAAAAACCTTTTACGCTCAAGTTTCTTACAACATTTTTCAATGCTTTTTGTGAGGAAACAAAACAAATATATAGGTTAATAACACTAAGTATGTATTAACGGTAAAAATTATTTTTAAAATTAAACGTGATATTTGAACATGATTTTCATGTTATACATTTTTATTTGAAAATATTGTTCTAGGCTCCTTGAAATACTTTTGCCTCTAAAGTTTGACATATTTTAATAAATTTTTTTTTAATTTCTTTGGTGCTCGGCCAAAAAAAATTAAAAAAATACTTTTAAGCACGTGTGCAGTAAAGGATTTCAGTACATTTTTATTTAACACGTGTTTAAAGACTCACTTTCGGTATTTACAATGGATAAAAAAAAACGCTTTATGAGCAACTGCATTGAAAAATATGTTTTATCCTTTATCGTGGCGAGTATGATAAGGTGCAGTGCAGAAATAAGATAGTACTACCTATATAAAATTAATCACAGTTAAGAATATTCATTGCACTTGCAATTCTGTGGCTCCCATCCAATCATCGTCAGCCCGTGTTCGTCCACTGCTGGAAAACCGCTATATAGACTTGGATAGGCCAAGCGCATGCCACCGAACCTTGCGAAGATCGTCTTCCCACCTTCTCTGACGGGTCCCACACTACGCTTGCCGGTTCGCGGTCCCATCCCAGAAATACTTAAATATAATGAGTGTTCAAACTGAAGATTTTCCTTTCCAAATAAAAAAGTTGGACGCTAAGGAGCACTATGAAACGCTTAAACACTATAATGGAGGTAATTATTTTATCTATTTGTTATTACAATTATTTTTTTAGGACTCCGTACCCATAGGTAAAAAACGGGACCCTATTGCTAAGCCGTTGAGTAATTAGACAGTAGCAATTTTCAAATATTATACATTTCGGTCATTACTATTACAACAAATATAAAAAATAAATATTTCACGGGCCTCTCATGATACAGACATGATTTTTTTACCGTTTTTATAGATCAAATAGCGAGTCCGACTTGCACTAAGACGGTTTTTATACAAATTTATTATTATTTATGTAGATTCACCTGTCCCGATGTTTGTCTTTCTGTAATCAAATCTTGCAAGCTAAATTTCGCCCACTAACCAATCTCCGGATTGAGAAAGATCATGGGTTTGAGTCTCATCTCAGAATGCTAGGGACATGGTGGATTTTTTAAGCATTTTTTCATTATTATTCACCACATTCTATGCATTCCATAATTTTTGCATTCCCAAAGTCAATTGTCTGAAAAATTGTTCTTCCAAGCGTTGCATAAAAGCGTGCATAAATCATCATTTTTTAACCGATTTCAAAAAAGGAGGTTCTCCGTTTCTTGATTACAAGTCTAATTGCTTATTTTATTTGCTTCATAGGATTTTTTTTGACTTATAATATGACATAAATCTTAAATAAGAAGTTTGGACTTTTAGTATACTATACCGTGTCGTGTAGCTAAGGAAATAGAAATGCTTCAACCGAATATATTCGGCACTAATTATTGCGGCAATAATTCGGTCAAATATAAAGAATGAAAATGATTCCAAATACTAAACGAATATGCGGCGCATCTCTACTTCTACACAACCCACCCAATATAATACTTAATCAAATGAAAAGGTTTAACTTGTAGAAAACAAAACACCAAAAATAGGTTGTATTAAAAAAAAAATCTTGTTTTTTTTATTATGACTTGCGATTAAGTAAAATAAATATTTCATTAAAAAGTCATAAACAAAGAGACGTAAAATAATCTAGCATTATTTTATCAGCTGGAGGTATTACTGAAGACTACATTCGTGTCGGCCCAAAGGGTTACTGGTTACCGGTCGGATATGCAGAGGTGGCTCCAAAAATATACAATATGACCGTCAAGCCAGACGATGTTTGGATTATGTCATATCCGAAATCAGGTAATACCTGTGTTTTCTGCGACCACTGACCTAATTATCTAAATTTTAAAATCTAATGCAATCCCTTTCATTTCGACATTTGAAAGATAGTCTTAAAGCTAAAACTATATAATATACGATAGCTATGCGATCGTTAAGAAGACGTTTTTTAAAGATAATCTAACGTTCAGTTGCACAAACGTCCATTAAGGTGCCATGACGTCTTTAAGCTCTAATGAATGTCTTTGTATGGGTAATGTCGCTTTAAACTAATGACAATATTAATGAATGTTTGTGCAACTGGCTGTAAGGCAATCGTTAGACCCAAATATTAGGTATCTTATGTTTAAGTTACTAAGTTTTTACATGTTTCTTGATTATTCTAATCAACATTCTTTCCGAAAGCGACTGAGACTTTAAACGTCGCATAATTCCATAAATCCAATGTATGAAGTTCATATGATGTATGAAGTGTGGTATAGTCTAAAAGATCGTGACAAAAATGTGCAAGTGCTTTCTTAAGCTTGATATTTCTGTATGTTAAAAAGGTACTAATGGTATACATGTCGCAACTAGTTAGATCAGCCGTTCAATTGGGCGGCTAGCCATTTAATTGAATAGCGCCATTCAATTGCACACCTGCTTTTCTATACTCCATTCATTATAGCATTAGACAGAAGATAAATAAGGTTCTCTCTATGGTATACTTACTTATACTGGTATACTTATAGGCTAATTTGCTACATATCTACTTAAATACCAAATGCTATTGTTGTCGTTTAAACTATCTATTAAACAAATTTATGAATATTTGACTAACTTAAATGGTTTAATAACTATTACAATAAAAAGTGTTCATATTAAAGAACCTAAAGAAGCTGGGTTGGATAGTTTCGGCACGATTCTCATGTCACTATAACTCTACAAATTTAAAACGTTGCCTAATCCCTTCAAACGTTTAGGCTGTACAGTTTTTTTTAATTTTGACAGATAATGATGTATTAATTATTGTCAAAATACATAATCTGGAATTATTATTCATGTGAATACTGCCTTTCTTGTTGCTTTGCCGTTATCCGTGATTAAGTTGTTATTATTTTACTGATTTTTTCTTATAATTTTGTGTTAGTTTTTATCTTTTTGTTGTTAAGTTTGGTTAAATATGCACGATGCCGGTGCAGGCCCGAGTGGCCTACAACAATTACCTTTGACATTTCAGGAAGTTTTTCCAATGCCTTCATCAATAGTCTAATAATATCTGATAAATATTATAAAAGTAAAAGTTAAAGGTTTGTTTATTATATAATTAAATTCTATTCTTATTATAAATAATTACTTTTTCTGTAATTCTTATAATGTTACTTACAATAAGAATTTTTCAAAATAACAGATAGATAGTTTTAGTTCCATGTTGGCTTGGGAGTAAAAGATGAATTTAGAAAACGCTGGCGCTATCTTAACCCCGAGGTATCGTAAAAAATCGAAAATTGCTTAGCTCTTTCAGACTACCTAACGTTCAAAGTTTCAACAAAACTATCAAATATATTAATAAATATCTTGAAAATAAAATGTTGTGCACTGCTGCTTCCGTGAGCTTCTTTTTTCTAATGTTATAATGAATGGAGCATAGTTGAATGATTATGATATTTGGACCGTTCAACAAATCGGCTGATTTAAAAACCGCCAAAACGTTCATAAGTTTTGTTATCTGTTATAATTTCTAACCTACCACGTGAACTCAGGACCAAAATAATTTCGTTGTTGTTATTAACTTTTGTAGCACCAAACTTCGAAATCGTATTAAATCGCAGGCAATTACGTTGCTTACTCTCACTTTCGATAGATGGCGCTGTGGCCATCTCAATAGCGGTATATCTTGTCTTTGAATAATGTCCTTCTGTTATTGGTACGTTAGCATTCTGTATTAAATTATATAGACCATAATTAACTACAGATCACTCTACACTATTTATTTTGTTTTACTTCTATCTAATACTACAAATAAATTTCGGTATTCCCGACAAATTGACTGTTTACGTCGTTTCGTTTCGTTCAGTTAGTCGGCTGACCGAATTTCAGCCCGTTAAATGAATGACGCCATTCAATTAAAGGACTAGCCACACATCCAGACGGCTGATTTAACCATTTGGCTACCACATACATATATACATCACTCAGTACCCTAGTAATTATCTCATAAAAATACTCAGAGTTTCAATAATGGAACAAATATATTCAACAATATCTAGGAGTATGTATCACGATGCGCTGCCTCCAGGAGTTCCATCGTCTGACCTCCGAACTGAGTACAGAGGACCCTTAGTACTTCAATATACTGAAATATCAAGCTTAGAAGCCCTATTACGTGATCCGTTGTAAAGACCCATGTGGGAGGCTTATACTCAACAGTGGGCGTCGAATGGTTGATGATGATAACCAAGTTTTAAAAGGTTGCACATTTTTGTCAAGATCTCTCCGTCTATTACGCTTTAAATGAAAATTTTCGATGAATGACGCTATATACGTCTTTCTGTGTTCTATGCTATATACCAAATTTTTATTTGCAGGCACAACTTGGATTCAGGAATTGGTGTGGCTAGTGTTAAACGATTTTGACTTTGCTAAAGCTGAAGCTATACCGCTTGTTGATAGATTTCCCTTTTTAGAGTAAGCGGCATATTTTAATTTTGATTACTTCTTCAGATTATCTGTGTCTTCAATCGTGTCTTTATGTTCTGTCCCCTTTCTTTTTTGGGATCGGTTTGGGACTCCTTTGGTGCAATTCGACACTTTCAGCGGAAAGGTTCAGCCCACATGCACAATTGGGGCGTAACTGTCATAGTTGATGTTTCTAAGAAATATTTTTTATGCTTTAATTGTGAATTGAAACCATATATTTCTTTGTCAAACGGTTTACGTTTAAACAACATTGTTAAGATCATAATACACTTAAGTTACTAGAATCCTTTATACTTTGTAGAATGTGTGGAATTCTATGTATATAATATTTATGGTTCACATAACGTTACATCTCCGCAGGTTTTCAATGTTTTTTAATGGCACGAAAGCGCGAGCTAAGTTCCAGCATAATATAAAAAACAAGGCTTTCATAGACAACATCTACAAGACGGTTGATCGCGTGGTAGAGATGCACTCACCGCGGTACATCAAGACACACTTGCCGCTGTCTTTGCTACCGCCCGATCTGCTCGACACTTGCAAAGTGGTGTACACGGCACGTACCCCCATGGACGTTGCCGTCTCTTATTACCACCATTATAACATGTTCACGTACAAAGGCTTCACTGGGGACTTCAAGCAATTCTGGAATTTCTTTATTGAAAATAAGAGTAATATATTTGGATATATTTCATGATCTGTTCGCGTGTTACAGCGAATCATGTTTATACTCTTAGTATCGTACTGATATAATTACCTCTTTAACTTTACTCCTTTTAAATTATTATGTCCTATGTCCCTGTACTTGAGCTTTTATAAAAATACACTTTAATCTACTAATATTAATTATAAAGAGATAAAGTTTCTTATTTTGTTTGTACAGGATAAACATCGAAAATCTGATCCAATTATAAAACCTTTCACGCACGGAAAACTACATCACATGCGAGTGATGTAGGTTATTCCATATTTTTGATATCATTATGGTCCAAATATTTATTTGAAATATATGAAGTCTCGACATTCGAAATCATTTCTTTTATTTAAGTACAATTTTACTAAGCCTGAAACTGGATTTTTCCAGAAAACGCACTCGTTTCACTTGATATTTTTGTCGGTTATTTGTCAGTTGATTTCTTTTATTCATTTATCTTAATTGTATCTGCAAGTCGCGCACCTCTCATAAAATACTTAGTAGTTACAATTATAGTCTTAGGTTGATGTTGCACACTCTATTTAATTAAATGTAGTTTAACTATTTTGAAGTAAAAATTTTAGATTAGGAAAATTCCGGATCTTTTTGTGTACTTGTTTGGTACCCATTCTATATTGTGGTTTTCAGTTGAATGGACGCCTTGCTTCGATAATGTGAAAGAATCATGGGAGAAAAGGAATCATCCTAACATGTTATTTATATTTTACGAGGAATCTTTAAAGGTGAGAACATTTTTTAACAGTGGGTAATTTGAAATAAGGATTCGTGCAATTAGGATCATTTTTTTTTCTAAAGCAATTAGGACATTAGCTCCAAATTTACTCCAATAAAACGACTAAAAACCACGTGTATTTTTGAAAGGTTAGGGGAAGGTGGCCTTAAACGGGTAAGCTAAGCGAGAATGTAAAAAAAAACGTCAAATTCACTTGAATCTTTAACTTAATTTACATTAATACAAAGGATATTTATCAAAGTATAAAATAAAATACCAATTGAATTTTTTTAATGAAACATATTTATTTTGTATGAAAAATACAAAAGGTCTCCAAAAACCCATTTTGCCCGCATATTGGCCAAAAACGGGTAACCCCCTCTGGGCAAAACAGGTAAGCTTAGGGCAAAACAAGTACACTTTTTTTCTAAACGGTTATACCTTCTTAATGACTTAACATAGTATAAAAATAACAAAATCAACTATTAAATTCTATTTTCATCACAAAACTTAACTAACAAATTATTTAAAAGCTTTTATTTCTTACTTTTTAAGCAGTCATTATATTTGGCTTAAGTTTAAGATAAGATTCGGTAATTTAATGAACCTAAATGTAGTTATAGTCTCATAGAATCATTCTTTAATGTCTTATTTTGAAAATCTATATCAATTTAAGAAATATAAGTTCAAAATAATAACAAACATTTAAATCAACTATATCTACTGTAACAAGTATATAGATTCATATCGAACATCGTAACTTAAGTCTTCATTCTTGACATAAATCGCAAAAATATGAGCCTACACCTGAGTAAAAAGTGCATGCATGGACCCATTCCAGTGGCGTAACTACAGTGTAGGAAGTCGGCAAAATGCCACGGGCCTCCTGCTGGAAGGGGCCCCAGGTCATAGGAGAATCCTTACTCCTGACATTTATCATTATAAAATTAGTAAAAAATACAGAATATCCGATGAATTTGCCACGGGCCTCTAACGGTATAGTTACGCCACTGGCCCATTCATTACAATCACCATATGGATCCAGTCTTCAACAGGTGGACAAATATGGATTACCACAAACAAAACAATAATACTTAATTTCTTGCTTCTTTTGTTTTCTTTTCATTAACTTCCTTTGTTTTACTAGTAGATGATTTATTATTGCCGTTTTCTTTTTCCAACCGACACCTTGTTTCTTTTTCTTATCTTTTATTTTCTCTCTTCCTTCATTTTTGTTGTTCTTTCATGGGTGTACTGGTTTAAACTTCAGTTTTTTGGGCTTAGTGTTGGCAAAGGTCTTTTTTTGCAAGCTTAACGTGAGGAGTGAGGACGTGAGGAGAATATACTGGACGAAGTAAAGTGGTATTCACTGGTGTAGCACACGTATTCTCTGCATGTCCTCTAATTCCACAGGCAGCTACCATCCAGGACTTTTCTTGGAACTTCCTTTTTAATATGTCGCTGCAAAGTAGACAGTGTAAACCCATACTTCATCGCGGCAGCAGACACCGAAGAGGAATTACCATCTTCCCTTGCAAATTTCATAGTGGCCACACTACACGATAAATTATATTGAAAATGAATTCAGGGCAAAACGAGTAGGGAAAGACGGGTACCCATTTTGCCCTACCCGTTTTGCCCAAGAGTATCTTGCTTAGTAAAATAATAATAACCCCGAAATTCATATTGATACAACAAAAGAAAATGTGGAATTCTACAGTCAGATAGAGCTAAATTAAAATGTCAATAACAACAATCCAATAATTATAAACATTTTCGACTAATTTAAAGAGACTTACCTAGCTTTTTTCTAACAAAACTACCAAAAAACTTTCGATACACACACCTACGCTATGACGCGACTTTAGTGCCTTAGCGGAACTGATTGAAGATATTCGGTTGGTGATAATTCTCGGCACACATACATATCAACACTTAAGTATGACGTAGAAGCGTACAACCACATACCCGTTTTAGGCGGGCCACCCGTTTTAGGCTAGTTTCCCCTATTTTGTTATAAATATTATTTCATCTCATAAAATATAATTTCAAGGTTTAATAAATATCCATATATCCAAAAGAAAAAAAACTGACCACAACCATACTAAGCGTTGTATTTATAACCCTGAAAACTTTAGGAAACCAGCATATTTTTGTCACGATGTCTTGGACCATACAAGTAACAGGTATAATACAGTATTTTTTTATTATTTTTTTTTTTTTGTAAAAAGGACTTAGCGTCGACTGTAGATCGAGTAGTTAAATTCTTCGGGAAAACAATCACAGATGAACAGCGCAGTCGTGTATGTGTACATCTCAGCTTCGAGAACTTTAAGAAGAATAAATCTGTCAACAAGAACATCTTTAAGGAATTGGATTTATTAAATAAGGATGCCTCATTCGTAAGAAAAGGTAATAAATAATTATAAATTATCTGTTCTCTCAGAAAATTCCACACCTTGACCATACGCTTTCGTACAACTTTTGTACAAAAATTAGGATGTCTTTAGCAATGTTAAAAAGGTGATAGTTATGAATCTTATACATACAGGTCAAATTTACATAGGTATACTTTTTTTATTTATACTGTTCAAATGTGGTTCAAAAAATGTCTTTTCCAACTATGCTTGGTCCTAGTGCAGGCTGTGCTTACATTGCAATCAGACGGCGAATCGTCTAATTGATTTACACAAATTTGTGGCAAAATGCGTAAAATTATGTTATTTACAGGCAAGGCTGGTACATGGCGCGAGCTCTTCGACGAGGAGATGACGCGGCAGGCGGAGCAGTGGATGGCAGACAACCTGCGTGATACCGATTTGAGATACCCTACTGTGTAACATATAGACTTGTAAATAAAATAAATAATTTAACGAATGTTATTATTATTTGTACCCGAGGCCGAGCGGGCAGTAGAGGTGGTTAAATTAACTTACAGCGTGTTAAGTTAACACGCTTTTCTCGCTTAACGATTAACGCTGCTAAGTAGGTACACGTGAAGGCGCTAAGAATATTACGCGCTAACACGATTCCCGCGTGAAATTTCAAAACAACTCTTAACGATTTATCGAGACCGCGACCGGCCGACGTGTTATTGCTCGGAGCACGCTAGGTACCCAGATAGCATTCTAACTTGGGGCAAGTTTGATTTTTCTTTGATTCTAAATTGCTGCGTCAAATATACGAGGCAAGTTTGTGACAATGACGCTGCAATATTGTTATGTTAAATATGCCGTTTAATGTGATCTTAATATGGGATTCGAAAACCAACTGTTCCAGTTAATCATTTCGGCTCCCAGGCCAGGCTCTGTGCTGTGGTCTGAGTTTAAAGTCGCAAACGCATTTGAACCAAAAGTTTTGAATGATCAAAAGATTAATAAAAATTTAGTAAACTTAAAGTAATATTTGCCTCGAAACCTGTATTCCAGGTATTCGAGTCAGTACCTAGGAAAATTATCATTACTACTACTACGGTAGAAGTAATAATAATTTTCCCAGGTACACTAGCACTACATTGGAAACGTCAAAGGTAGTGCAACTTTGTCATACTGAAACTAGAAAGTTTGATTTAAACTTGCTGCAAGTTTCTGCAGACAAACCTGAAGTAAGTTTTCTTTATTGATGTATCAAACTTGTTGCAAGTCAGAAACAAGTTTAAATTGCTATCTGGGTAGGTACTTTAGATAAGAAGGGTAATTATGTGTTATTATGTGTATGTTTAAAGAAGTTTGTGTGTAAATAGATTATTAACTATTGTTCAAAACAATTATGTGAATAAAATTTCGACGGTTTGAAGGCTTATTCATGTAAGTGCCATTTTTTCGATATGGTATAGCTATCATATTTGGACTGTGTAAGATATGCTGATTTCAAATGTGTATGCATAAAAGTAACAGTAAGTAATGGCACTTACATTAATTAGTATTTCAATTGTCGAAATATAAGTTAGTACATACGTGTGTATAAATAAAGATGATAATATAAATTAATTTTATGTTAGGGGAAGATTATAAATAAAAATGCCTAATCATAGTGATGATGGTTCGCCGATTTAGAACTTTTATGAAAAACCCTCAGACAACATTTAATCTGCTATTTGTAATTACGTTGTAACTAATTTAAAGACACATCTTTAACTAAAACACATTTCTGTGTACAATATTTTATTAAATTCTTTTAAACCAGATACTCGCTTAAAAACTGAAAATGTAGCTTTGCACGATGAAAATGCTGGTGTTGGAAGTAACATTATGATAAACAGTGGTGGTGGTAACTCTGCTTGCAATACTGTTGTTGGCGAGAGTGGGCAGTACTATCAATGATAACAATAATGAACCTCACAGAAAGGTTCAGAGAGCAATGCATGCCTATCTGAAGAGAATAACAAAATTGATAATAGTCTTTTGAAATGTCTGTTTACGATTTTTAACATTTTTCAATAGGCACTGATGTCGGATTTCGTGAATATAGGTACGCGTGCATTGAATCCAAATAACGAAATACTAGTAATATTTTTAAAGTCACACGATTTGTATACATTATAATTATATGTAATCGGCTGTTGTTCGTGCATTTTTTAAAACTATTAATTTACCTCGACGTTTCGGCTACGTTACAGCAGCCGTGGTCACGAGGAGACTGGAGAACTGGCGGGTGTCGTCTTCTGATTTTAGTTGAGGTGTGAGTGTAATCCGGTAATAATGTTTTTAACAGATTTTCAGATGTACTCTCCACTTGATTTTATTGTACGTAAAGGTGGCGACACACTGCACTTACGGTATCCGAGAATATTGTTCGTGGTTGTTTGCGATCGCGACACTTACACATTTTTATAACCGGATTCCACGTTGGTGAGAGCTTATATCCAATTTCCCGGTTGAAATTGTTGTGTTTTTTTATTTCAACCGCTTCACGAACAATCCTTGGATAGTAATGTCGTTAAGTGGAAAGGACATGAGGTGTATGTAACTCGATCCAGTGGTTTGATCCCGATGATAATAAGTGCTCTGTAATCGCGGACTTCTCCACTTGATGATTTTTGACCGCTGCTATGTGTTCTCTTACACGTTCGGCGATAGTCCGCTTCGTTTATCCGATATATGAACATTGATGGTGTCGCCATGGGTAGCCCCGTAGCGCCACTTTTGGCCAATATATGGATGGAACATGTCGAATCATTGATAGATTACCAGTCACATGGGATCCGTATATGGTAACGGTATTATAACTCAAATTCATTCAAAAAAGAGGTAAATGTTCGTTAGTTGGGTGGAGATTATTATTAGCGCGGGTGGTAAATCATGATCAAGAAAAGCGTCGGCCCAAGTGTACTTCCTTGGCTTACTCCAGATCTCGTATAGTACTTTAATAGTATGTATTGGTGGGTCTTAATGAGTGCAGATACAGCCGGGATCAACGGCTTAAAGTGCCTTCTGAATAACGGAGGAGGTAGAAATAAAAAAATTTGTTCACCCATATGACCGGCCACTACAAAACTTGCCTAACAACCGTATCGCAGACCGAGCGCGCTAACTGCGCCATGTAATTCTTCCGACTCTTTGTTATATATTTTTTTCTCTTTATTTTGACACATAACAATCATTACATTAAAATACTTATATTAATTACAATATTTAATAGACAATGTGTGTCCACTATTTCTATAGAGGTATAAATAAATAACTGTTGTCTGAAGGACACCAGTTAAAGAAGCAAATTTTTGCACAATTAACTTATCTCTAGTAAAAATTTAAAGCAATATTAGTTGTTTACTATACTATTTTAGTAAAGATTTGAAACATAAGGCTACTAAGAGAGCAGTTAAACAGGTCTATATCTGAGAATTCACAATTGTACATACTTAAACAACGACAAAAATAATTATTTGCAGTATATAATTTGCGAAAATGAGGCAGTACAAATACTTTCATACAACGTGAGGAGCGTACAGGTAACCGAGCCTTAGTTATAAAATTAATTTTCGATAGAAGCGTTGAGGAATCGACAAAAGAATTTAGTATTTTAAAAAGAAATTGCAGATCCAGCTGCTTATGTCGGTTCTATAGGGTTAATAATTTATAATGTTTTAAGGATTCTCTGTATGATTGATCATAGTTTCCTGAACGATAATTCAATATTTTAATAAATTTTTCCTGAACATTTTCTATTCGGTTTATGTCTATTTTATAGTAAGGGTTCCAAACGACACTTGCAAAGTCTAAAACTGATCTTACGAAACTAAAATAAAGGATTTTAAAAGTAATAATCTTACTAAATGGTTTGCTTACTCTATTTATAAAACCTAAATTTCGGAGGGATTTTTGGACAATTTTCTCATAATGAAGTTTAAAAGTCATTGCGCTATCCATAATTATACCCAGGTCGCGAATACTATCTGTTCTTTTTAAAATCATGTTGTTAATTGAGTATTGAAATAATATTGGTGCTGTTTTTCTTGTATAAGATATTATCTTGCATTTATCTGCGTTAACAAATAGTTGGTTTTCTGTACAGTATTTATTTAATGTGTTTAAGTCAGCTTGAAGGCTGTAGCAGTCATCCATATTAGAAATGACTCTAAATATTTTTGTATCGTCTGCGTACTGAAGATGGTAACTGTTTGGTAACGAATCACCAATATCGTTTATATAAATTGCGAATAGTACAGGTCCAAGGTGCGATCCTTGAGGTACTCCAGATGATAACGGCAAAAAACTCGAACAGTAACCCTTAATGCAAACAGCCTGACTACGGTTCCGAATATAAGACTCAAACCATCGTAATAAATTGCCATGCACACCGATTCTTGAAAGCTTTTTATAAGTAAATAATGGCTAATACGACATCAACTTGCTTGTTTTCATCCATAGCTTTAAGGACAATATCAGTGAATGTGACCATATTGGTCTCGAGACTGCGTCTTTTCATAAATCCATGTTGCGTATCAGACATATGAGACTTAAGAATGGAGGACAGTTGATCTGATACTATTTTCTCGAACAATTTACCAAGAACACATAGTTTTGAGATGGGTCGATACTGCGTTATTAAATCTTTTTGCTTGTTTTTGGGAATAGGCGTAATGAGGGCTCTCTTCCAAACACTAGGGAAAATACCAGAATTCAAGGACTGTTGAAATATTTTACAAATTGGTTTTAATAATTGGTTTGCACACTGAGATATTAATAAAGGGTGTATCTCATCAGATCCAGCTCCCTTATGAATGTTTACATTTTTTAAGTGTTTAAGTATCACTTTTTCATCTAGTTGTATTTTTCCGAAATCAATTATGGAAAATTTTTCATCACATTTACGAGCTGAATTTATGCTACTATCAATATCTACGTTAGTTTTTTCAAAAACGGATTGAAAGAATATATTAAAAGCTGCACAAATCTCTTCGCCTGTAGTCAAATTTCTTCCATTAAAAATCATATTATGTGGAATTTCGTCGGTTTTATTTTGACCAGAACGAATTTGGATCATTTTTAATATTATTCTCTGAAAATGCTATATATTTATTATAGGTATCTGCTTCCAATTTGCGGACGCGAGATCGAAGTAATGAAAACGTATTGTAGTCAGCTTGATTACCGTAGGCCTTCCATTTCCTATGATATTTTCTTTTCTCATTACTTAACTTAATAAGAGGTCGCGAGTACCACGGAGGAAATTTTTCTCTATTTATCTGGAGGCTTACTGGCACATGTAATTTAATTAAATCAGTTAAAATGTTGTAGAAAACCAGCACCATAGCATCAACATCATCAATACAGCTCTAAAAAGTAGTGTCCCAATCGATTGATTCTAAACTGCATTTTATAGAATTAAAATCAGCCCT